CTCGACCGGCAAGACTCTCCCAGGCGCGTACTCGCGACTCTTCCTGTAAGCGACGGCGTCGAGCTATCAGGCTTACAAGGAGGACAGCCAGCCGAGGCGGGCAGTAGTCGCATGTCTAGAGGGCTCGAAGTTGGCGGGTGGTGGTCAGCGAATTGAGCGGTAGCTTGAGGGACATTCCTGGCTTTTGCTATTGCAGGGTGACTCGGCATGACATACTTGAGCTGCGCTAGGCGTCGGACCATGCGTATACCCGTGAGAGCGAGAGACGGCGCCATTTTTCGTTCTCTTCTCGATGGTCGCGAGCAATTCACGAGCATGGATCGGGGATTTGGCTCTTTGCAAAGTAGAGGAAGATGCGCCGAAGACAAAGAGGGCGGCGTGGGAATGGCGAAGCAGAAGGTAATGAACGAAGGCGAGGTATAGAGTGAAAAGCGAAGGGAAAGAGTACATGGAAGTCTTCCAAGCAAGTCGGGCACCTTTAGACGGCGTTGCAGTCGGCAGCATTGATGTTGTAGAGAAACTGCTCGCGTTCGAGAGCCAGTTCATCCGGCCTGGCGTCAACTCGCGAGCGTGCCCAATCGATGATCTTGACCGCGCCGTTCGGCTTCACGATGAAGTTTGCTGGTCGAAGGTCGCCATGCTCAATCTGGTCGTTGTGGAGAGCCTCAACCGCGGCAACGCACACGCTCCGGTGTCTGCAAAAATTGGCGTGAGCGAGAGAGCAGAAAGGCTGAAGTCGAAAAACTCACCGAGCCACGTCGCCCCAGGTCTGCAACACCACGCCCGGAATGAACTCGAAGATGAGGAGCAGGACCACGATGTCGTCGATCGCGCCGCCGAAGAGACCGATGTACATGGGCGCGTACTGAAGCCTCCTGCCTCGCAACGTGACGAGGGCCTGATGTTCCCGCGCCCCTTCGTCCAGACGGTCACGATACTCGTCGAGAGACTCTTCATGGCGCGGCGCGACGACCTTGACGGCGAAGCGGCCGGTGGAGTCGCCGTACACATCCCCGCCCCATCCGCTGCCGAGATGCTGTGATAGGTAGAGTGCCGCAGTGCCATCGCCCTCGATATTCTCGCTAGACGAGCGCTTGTAGCAGCCTGAGAACGCGCCGAGGTCATCGAGACCCGACTCGAGGGTGAGTTTGGCGGCTCGCTCGAGGCTCGCCAGCAGATCGGGCGTAGGCTCTAGCGGCGCCTCGACGAGGCTGCGGGAGATGTCGTGCGAGGTCTTGAGCGACTCGGCGAGGTAGCGCGATGACGAGTCGTGGGGCGTCTCGTGCGATCCGGCAAGGTCGTGCGATGACGAGTCGGGCGACGTCTCGAGCAGGTCGACAAACTTCGGCAATGTCTCGTCGTTCCCGTCGAGAGCCGTGAGCGCGGTCGTTTCCGACTCGAAGGACTCGTCCACGTCAGATGAGGCGGAAGACGCGGAAGACGAGTCGTCTGCACAGGCAGTCGCAGAAGAATCGGCCGGGTCGACGGAAGGATCGGTCGCCAGCGGAGGCCCTGCTGCTGGTGCGCCGGCCGACGAAGAGCCCTATAGGCGCGAATGCAAGCGTCAATACGTCGGCCCTCGTCAAGCCAGTTTGAACCGGACGCACGTTGTGGAGGTTGCGGACAAAAGTGGCGACATCGAGATCCTTGAAGAACTGCAGGTACTCCGCCTGATCGGCATGCTTGCTGAGCAAGCGGTCGGACAGCTTGCTGTGCCGGCCGACGCGAAGGTAGATGAGGAAGACGGCCTTCATTCGAGCGACGAGAGCGAGGTCCTTCTCCATGTCGCAAACCAGGAGGTTCGTGCCGAAGCGGAACATCGGGAGGTTATGGTCGGGAGTACCGAAGACGAGGGGTTGGAAGGAGGATTGGTTGCGCTGTTTGAGCACGGCGAGCTGCACGCTGAGCTGCTGTGTGAATAGCGTGATCGCTCGCATCTCGTCGTCCATGGCGTCCCAAGGCACCGGCGTCGTCGTCGACTCGTGGAAGCCCCAGCCTTGCCACTGATGCAGGGCCGGCTGCTTCCGTTGGGGTTTCTTGGCGATACTGATCGGCGCTCTTTGACCAGGCTTGGCGCGCTCCGCAGGCAGGGGCTTGGCCGTGCTGCTGAAGGAGAGGGCGGAGAAGTCCTCCAAGATGGCCGCTTCCTTCGCCTTTTGCGACGGGTTCGTCGGCCGACCACTTGTTCGCGGAACGGGGGCGCTTGCTGCTTGCGGTCTTCGACGAGGGTACGGGTCGAGGCCGCTGGGCGGGGAGAGAACGTTGCGCTTCGCGGACGAGCGCGCGGGCGCTTTACTGTACACCTCCAGCTGCCACAGCGTCGGAAGATCTTGCGCCATGTCGAACATTTGCGGCAGAACGAGGCGGTTGAGCATCGCTTGCATAAGCACCTCCGTCAACGCCTGGGTCAGCTTCACCTCCTGGGGAATCTCCACGTAGGGGTCGCCGTGGAGAAACAGCGAAATGTCCGAGGCGCCTTGCTGCGGCGTGTTGTATTGACTGCCTCGCCGAATCCGCAGGCCAAGCACGCCGCCTGCCGCAAACTGCGCGAGCCGATCGACGACGGCTGACAACCACGCCTGCGCGTCGTACTCGTTCGAGCCGAAGTTGGGCGAGTCGTAGTAGTCGCTTGGCATGGGTTCGAAGGACTCGTGGCCGAACCAGGTGGGAAGAAGAGGCAGGACTTCTTGCTCAAAGTGCGTCAAGAGGTCTCGTGCGAGGGTTGGCAGGCGGCGGACATGCGTAATGGTGCCGGCGAATATACGGTCGGTGACGATGGGCGCGCGGGTCGAGAGGGTGTGGGAGGTTTCGGCGGCGAAGGGGTTCGACGGTGAATCTGGAAGAAGACATCGTAAGCTATTGCACACAATCCCAGCCGGTCAAACAGCCGCACCGAGAGCAAAGCGTTGAGTGATCTGGCGATGAGTCTCCCGCATCCACACCGTCTCCGGTGCGGCAGTCGTTGGCTGCAATCGCGTAGAGTCCTGGGTCTGTTGCATCAGGCGTGCGTCGTCAGTCACGGACGTGGCGTCGGGAGAGCGGAGCAGTCACGACTCACGCTCGGGGAGGCGGAGGCGACGGCCGCGTTGGCCATCATGGGAGGTTGCTGGGCGGAGCTGCCGGTCGTGT